CTAATAATTGAACTATGCAACATGTAGCGTAATATTTATTCAAGATAATGAGACCACAGCTGAATTAAAAAGAAAGCATTATGAAAAGAGAAAAGAAAAAAAAAGGGTTGACTATTCCCCGCCTTTGGACACAGCTGCACTGTCGTATTTCATCATCATCTATTTCTTACAAAAAATTGCTCAACCTTAACTTGACGCCACAACGTGCTTTCAGTTGATTTTGATACCACAGCGTCATCAATTTGACGAAAAAGAGATATCGTCGATGACTTTCCTGATTTGCATAATTGAAGAGAAGTTGCAAGTAGAGACATCTTCCTCGCACGTGAGCTGCGCACGTGAGAGATCATCGCCTTTTCACCGCTTTTTTTATTTTATCAGAAATGGATGTAAGTAGTGTTGATACAATCGTGAAATATGTGATGAAATCTAGTGATAAATTTTTATTTCCTGCAAAAAATCGCTCAACCTTAACTTCATGCCCCAACGTGCTTTCAGTTGATTTACATACTACAGCGTCACCAATTTGGCAAAAAAAAGGTATCGTCGATGATTGTCGTGATTTGCATAATTCAAGGGAAGTTGCAAGTAGAGACATCTTCCTCGCACGTGAGCTGCGCACGTGAGAGATCATCGCCTTTTGACCGATTTTTTTTTTTTTTTATCAGAAATGGATGTTGATGTAGGTAGTGTTGATACAAGAGAAGCGTACGTTTTTGCGTAAACAATCATGAAATATGTGATGAAATCTAGTGATAGATTTTTACCATACGCGAATGGACTTAATAAGTTATTTTCGGGCGATTTATGGCTAGTTTTGTAATATATATATCTTATTATACGTTTTGTTGTGTAATATCGCTGAATATTTTTAAGAGTTGTGTCGTATTTTGTCGAGCCCGTAGGGTGAATCAAAGTACAAACAACTCGTAAAAATACTCAGCGATACAACTAAACGTCTAATAAGAGATTTATTATCCAAAACGCCAAAATGTTATCTCAGTGCGGGCGAATCGTGGAAATTTCTGGAATATAAATATCATGTGATATTCGTACTCGTCTCGCGCGTTATTTGTACTCTACGAAGCACAATTGGATAATAAGTCGAGATTATTATACAAGGACGATTTCACAATAAAGGAAAGAAGTTTATCAGTGTTATAACATATATTTATAGCATATTTCGTGGTTATCTAGACACCCTCATATCAACATTACCGTAGTCCAATTATTATAAAACTGCGGTAAAAAGCGTTGATCAAACAACCTCTCGCCATATCTCTCTTTCTGGCAATTAGCGATGTTTGCCCCGTGGTGATCCCAGAGATCTTGTGAAACCGGCAAGGATCTGATTACTGGCAACTCGTTCGAAGCCTTAAAGATTATGGCTTCCAAGGGATTCGAACCCATACCTCCCATAAAATTTAAAATTGAAAATTTAAGTTGTGGGCACTTCTACTGAGAAAATTTGGGGAGCGAGGCCAGGGGATCGGAAGTTGATCAAGTAACAATAGACTTATGTCGTATGAAATCCGTTTGGGATACTCACGTTCATGATTGCCTGACAGATTAGTTATTTTATCGTAGAATACTGACAGTTATTGCATTGCTAGCGAATTGCCTCACCACATCTCCCTCAGAAAACAGATCAGACCAAATAAACATTAAACTTTGCAAAGCTTGACAGCATACATCTCTAGGGTAAGATACTTTAGCTTAGCTAGAGTTGACAAATCCAGCTCTGTACATGTGTGACTTTCATGTCTAAAGTTTTGCTTACAGAGCCAGTAGACTGGCACTTCCCTACGGATGAAGAAATTCACACGTCTACCTTAAATAGAAACCAAAACCAGCTGACAGTAGTAAATAAGATTTACTGAAGAGGATATCAATAGTTAAAAATGGTGGTCACTATATGTGAAAACGACTGTCAACCTTGCATCACCATAAGGAAGTGGATTGAAAGAGCAAGTCAAGTGAAACTTGTTGGGAAATGCTCATGTTCGTCGTCCACATCCCATTAATTAGCCTCAGGACGGTAGTTAAGCCGTTTCTTTAAAAAAAAGTATTATTTGTAAATAATTCAATTTTAAGTAAAGCGGACTACTGCATCTGCTTTGGAAGAGAGATGTTAGAGGCATGCAAACTGTGTCAAGCGTCTGGTAACCGCTTTGGTGCTCACATAATCCTTTCCTTGTAAAGGATCTGTCTCTTACTGTAAGAATAAGAAAATCCCAAATTCACGGCCGGAATTAACCTTTTCAAAGGCTGATAAACATACAGATCGATAAAACAACACCTACGCATAAAATATTTCCGAACAAATTACAGTTTTGTGTCTTCAGAAGACGAATACACCGTCGCGAGAGAAGAACTTTGATTTGCTTCCAAGCTGACGTTTGACGTTGCTTCATTTTCAGATGGACACCCAGAAACTTGGACATTAGACGACGATTGGACAGCTTGAGCCTCAACATCCTGTGAGCCTAAACAGGTAAAATGGTACAAGGAAAAGTTATGCATTTGAAAAGATACACGAACAGACCGTTCTATAACATAATTGCGGGGACGATGTTTGCAATTATTCTCAATAAGTCGGCTTAGATACAAAAATCAAAGAACATTTTAAGATCATTACCTTTCCTTCTGCAAGAAACGTTTGACGGTTGATAAAGCAAAACCAACAGGGATCCTACCAGAGTTAGTATCCCGGGCGCCATTGCAAACACGTGTCGCACGTAGTTGCTAACCTCGCCATTTGAGCTGGTCCTGAATCGAGAAAGACAAATCAGATGACAAGAAGTTTAACCCTTTCGCTTCCAAGATCTCATATGTAATTCTCCTTCCTGTCTACCATAGAATTATTCCATGATATTACTTTGGAGAATTTGGTTTAGGATCAACTTATAATCACCTGATAAAAGTACTGTTTTTCTTCATCTCCATGTGAGGAGAAATTCTGTCTGGATCACTCATGCACGGCAGTTAAAGGGTTAAAGCTGTAAACCTAAGCCTAGTAGAGTTAGAAAATAATGATTTCCTTTGTACGAAGATACAGAATCTAACTCTTAAATTGAATTTCAGTATTTGTAAAATCAGTGAGCTCACATACCACCGTTCACAACTATGGCGACTAAATAATGGTTTACGAACCTTTCTTCGGGATAAAATTTCTGTATACCAATGACGAGTCCACCACTTGAGAGTCTAGAAATCACAGTGATAATGGCAAACACTGATCCACTGGTCTCCTAAAAGCCAATGATTATATCAATTTATTAAGGCCGATGTCTGTTAGCTCACTGAACTTGATCTAACACAACGAATATATGAAATTCATATATCTGAACTGCGGTTATTTGTGCACGTTCCTCGCAGTAAAGAGTACTATTTAAGCAATAGAGAAAATCAGACCTGAAAGATTCAGGCCTGTACGAGATCGTACAGGGCCTGAATTTTTTCAGGTCTGATTTTCACTATTGCTTAAATAGTGCTTTTTACTGTGAGGATCGTGCACAATTACGTGAACTTGATCTAGTAGTGCGCTGGACTCAGGGGCGAAGTCTTACACTTTGCCAGTTTATGGTGTATGTTTTTAGACAGGATACCTTCTTACAAAGCGCCTTTCTACACGTAGGCGTTTAAAGGGATCCCTGCCAACTTTCAGAGAAACCTGAAGAAGTTTTGGGGTTATCTATCCCGAAAATGGAATAAGCTCAGGCGGTCTAAATAATAGGCTTGAATGCAGAGTTTTCCATTTTTTTTTCACCTACAGGCTGTATAAGTATGCTCCTGCTTGTTTAAATGTCCTCCTTTTTCGTATCAAGAAATGGTTCATTGTTCTGACTCAACTTTTCAAAACAAAAGTTCTCTCGTTATTGGTGGTGATGAGGGTCTTTTGCCGAAACGAAGTGGAAAAGTTCGTAACTGATCGAGTAAATAGTCTAAATGATAATTTCGTTGCATAGGGGGAGTGGGGAGCGTAAATTTGCGCAAGCAAGATCAATCTCCATTGGTGTACCTCGGGGAAGACTCGAGTCTCGATATTAACTTTATGCGAGTTTGGTTGGATGCCTGGCTAAAACCAAAAACTTACAATACTAACCTTATTTTCTCCAATCAGCTCGGTGATAAAAACAAGTGCCATGACATGAATGATGGACAGACCACTTCCCATAATTATCACTTGTGCATAGGTTGACTGCCTGGTGGAAATGGTTTGAAAATAGCTCCAAACAGCACAGCCTATCACTATAGAACCCGCCAAAAGGTAACTCCACTAAACACCAGGAAATATACAAAATTTAGCCTAGAAGGTCTATTAGACACATGCAATTAACGATAGCAAAGTTAATTATTTTGAAATAGTATGTTTTTCCGACCAAGAAAACGGCATACAACTTATCATTCACTGTTTCCACAGAACTAACCCGCTGAAAAACTGCTGTTTCGATAAAAAATATAAAATAGGGTCACACGTGTAACTGTCCAGTTAGAACGAAACTGTTAATTATTGAACTCGTGTTATGACCATACCTTGCTTCCAATCCTCTTGTTGAGGCCATTGCAGATTGAACTTGAAAAAGAGGCACTGACCAGAAGAATAATTGGGAAATAAGCGATGGCTTCCTAAGACAGGAAAGAAATACAGCGTTATCTAGAACACAAGTGAACATCTTAAATGGTAACATATATATTTAATCGATTAGAGAAGATTGTACCACGATACCTTTGCAAATAGTAGCCTTTCTGTAAGGTAAAGAGGTAAATATCCATATACAGAGTCCTGCGCAAGGTATGAACATGTAAATATGATGGCTACCTGAAAATGACACAAGAACGAAAAGGAAATAAAGCTTTTAAACCTTTGTCGCGAAAATAGGCAAGACAATAAGAGGGTGTGGTTGCACCTTATACAAGTTTGGATCTCTCAGCCAGTCTTTAACTCCTTTTGGAGGTTTTCTCATTGATGGAAGTTTGTCCGATGGAACAGGATGACTTTCCAAATCAAGATTATCATCTAAAGCTGATGAATTATTGTTGCCCTCGCATGATGCTACACATTCATCTTTGGAAAATTCTTTTTCCACATACTTCTGAGCACTTTCTTTCCGGATGGTTTCCTCTTCAGTCAGTTCAACAAGGCTTGAGTTTTTCCGCGTTCCCTCATCCACTGACGGCATATCGTAAATTTCAGGTGCACGGAAAGTCACAGACTTCTTTGGCTTCCTAACGGAAATTCTGACAAGTTTTCCTTTCGGCGCATCGTCACCTTTGTCATATTCAAATCCAAAGTTAGAGAGGCCATTATCAAAATTGAGCGAAGCATTCACGATGGCATGCTTTCTTTGCCGACGTCTGGACTCCATTGATGTTTCTGGGATGGCCCGGATTCTTTTTTCTTTATCATCTTCTTTCTCCTCCTCTTCGGTTTGAGCTTTACCAGATTCGTTTTTATTGTTGTACATATTCCGTGTTTTTTCGTTGGGAAAGGTCTCGATCTCTTCCTTTCTATAGTAATCTTCATCGGTTACACACCTTTCACATTTACTGTCCAATGTAACTTCGTCTTCAATGGCGACAGTGAATTTAGCTTGCTCTTGCTCTTCTTGATCTGGTCTTAAGAGGAGTCCGTCCAAAAGACGCACCAGCAGACTCTTCTTACGTTCACGATCTAATTGCTGTACTTCTAAACACATTTGAGATTTTGCATCCTCACTATCTGGGTTCTTAGTTCCCTCTTCTGGATCAGGAACTGATAGAGTAAGGCCAGTTTCGTTTTCTCCATCAGAAAATATTGCAGCAGCAAACTTCTGCAGTAGACTTTTTCTTCGATCTCGCTGTTCATGGCTTTGGTTTTCTTCATGTCCGTTGTGCTCATGCTGATAAGTTTCAACTTGAGACGAAGCCATAATCATGTCCACAAATCTATGAGCGAGGTTGACTTGTGAAGAACCTTTACCTTTGAAAAAAGATACTTAACAATTATTGGATGAGGTTGAGCATGGTAGTGATAATTATCAAGGCAGATAACACTAACTGAGGTCTTGATAATATAATTATCGGTATCATGCGAAAACCGAATCCAATAATTTTTTTAATATGCATATTCCTGAGCTGCTCTTGTAAAGACAAGAGCGCATAAAACTATTGTCTGTAGGTATGACGTCACGTCTACATATTTAAAATCTATTGTCTGAAAGTATAGCGTGAGAGAATATAAATTAAAATTAATTATTGAACAGCACTTTCTTTAAAAACGATGTACTTATTAAAACTTGTAAGCATTTTAAACGAACACTGGCAAAACAATTGTTACCACAATTGGAAGTAATGTCGTAATATAATTGCCCAATTTGCCGTTGTCGATAAGAGTACAGACGACGCTGCTCGCGTCACCGTATCACACTACATGTCAAGCCATTTTGACCGCCGTGATGACGAGTACTGTTGTCGACAAGAGAACAGACCACGCTAAACCACCATCGATTTGATAAATTTACTACGTCATTGTGTCTCAAAGAAGAGTCGTATTATATCGTTTAAAGTTTGAAGACTTACCCGCACTTTCTCTTCCAAACTGTGGCATTACAATAATTTCTGGAGCCCTCTACAAGGAAATATCAAGTCAAGGCTAAATTCATCCATCTTACAAACCTAACGTTGCATATAACGTGCTGTATTGCGGAATGCCGTTATACGCTCTTCCCGTAACAATCTAGTTACCCTGATTGCAGGCTTCCAAAATCAGGGTACGTAACGAAAGTCTGGTTTACATGATTTGTGGTGATATATGAATAGTTCAAGGAGAAAGCGACAAGAAGCTGTTGCCTAATAAATTTTTTATTACTATAATCACTGCGGGGATACATTAAATTCACTACAAGAACTTTTACCTCAGTTTTTTACTAACCATAATACCCGAGAATGTGCTCCTTCTTCTAACCCGTCTCTGAGGCTCCTTTGTGCCAATTAGAAACAGGGTTGCAAAAAAAACTCCTGTTCCAGCAGCAATCCATGAGAGGTACTTTAAAAGAAAAGCAAACATAATGATAAATATTTTAGAAATGGTGACTTTCACAGTAGAGTAGCATGGAGAAATGCAAATAGGACTCAAAGCTTAGCTCTTTTAGGTTATGAATTTACGATTGACGAAATTTCTTTACAAATAGAATCTTTAGAGCTGTTACTAACCGCAAAATCTGACAGGTTGTTGGGTCCAAGAGTAACTTCACTGTCTTGTCCTAGAAGACCCCAGGCGACGGAATAAATGTAAACACCACTTAGGAAGCTGAACACAGTTCTTTATTACACGAAAACGAGACAGAAAAATAACATTCTCATTAGGTTTCACGCGCATTATCACTGCAGAACAGAAGACATAAAGCCGCATCTATATGCATTATGTATTACTAAAGCAGAATTCAAACAAGATTGCCACAAGCATACCTCATCGAGCTCAGAACTGCGCATTCCTCCACAGACTCGGCAACAGTTGTGATGACAGCCATGTGATTTATCTCCACCACGTTGAAACATATATTTACAAGCGCCATGAAAAAGCTGAAGTAAACGAGTGGAAGCCAGCTTTGATAATTGCCAGAACACAAAAAACACCCATTTTACATAAGAGGGAGTGCGACGGCCATGAGAACTGTTGCCAAAAAATGCCAGGACTTTCGCCTCCCAATTCTCTTTGAAAAGAAAGGTATATTAACATGATCGCCAAGGTACCCTGAGATTGGAGAAAAAAGTGCGTCCGCAATTTGTCCGATGAGTAACATCAGTCCTGCCTCTGAGGCTGAAAGTTCGACGACGTTCATGAAGAACACGAGTTCAAACGACTGTCCGAGCTGTCGGTAGAGGTCGTTGAAAACATTTCCAACTGCACAGGATAATCGTTTCTTGACCTGCATCTTCAACAAGCTGTAATGCAGCTTTCTCGAGCTGTACCAACTTCAAAATAAGAATAGAAAAAAGTGGTAAAGAAGAAAGACAAATACCGAAAGCGAGAAACACGTCAGCGGAAGTCTATCAATTAGAACTGAAAACAAACGTCTATCATGAGACGGAAATCCATACTTGAGTGGCAGGAAGTGAGAACAATGTAACCTCTCAAGCAAGAAGAATCTAGCGGGCTCGATGAAATCCCTGCTTTCAACCCTATTCCTTCTGTAAAATCCAATAAGGCGCGCTGATCTGTGAAAGAGATGCAGGACACCAAGTGGCTCGTAAAACAATTCCTCTAGAAGTTATCAAATACGGTGATGAGTGTTATCTAGAGCCGCCCCCAAGATCTTACTGCGGTTCCGAAGTCAGACAGAAAAATGCACCAGAAAGATCTTGAAATCATTGCAATGTCTCGTGTCTCTTAGGGAACGCGACTTTATGCCCCATGGCTTCTCCCCCTGAAGGGTTTATATTAGTGACTCGTTCGCAGTTGATAGTCCTTGTTTCAAAAAGTATGTATAGATATCGTAGGAACACAATAATTTCAGTAAGGTCCTCAGCAGCTTGAATTTTAATGGAGAGGTGCTTTCGAACTGTTTGACTTTAGAATACAAATTAGTGTTACTAAGCAGTTCAGTTGAGTGACTCTCACTTGTTACGCCGCAAAAACGGAACTGGCAACCATTTATTGACCTTAAAAACGCGACTACAGCTAATTAAGATCACGACAGGTTATTAATTTGAAAAACAAATGTCGATGTGTACGAAAACGCGTTACTGAGAGTTCACGTCTAACCTAATCTATCGGCTGAATTGATTTATTAATCCCAAGCCTATTACCACCGTTGATAGTTGATAGTTGAGTACGATCCCAAAAACACTGAAATCACATCATTTAGATATTCTTTGTTCTCCCGTGAAAGCATCAGTGAATTTATTCTTGAAGTTGTTAATGTTCCTTCATTTTATAACATAACAAGGTTCTTTACTTTCTTCTTACATTTAATTTCCTTCAAAATCATCACGTTTTTCGTTGGCCATTCCTGACGCATAACATATTGAAGAATGAAAGAAGACCTTGATTAATCACATTTTATCAACCTGATAACTGCCAATAAAATCTGAGACAGTCGCGTGGGCGTTGTAAAAAAAAATACAAAGTGGCTTGCAAATTAATTCATATAAAACGTACAGAGTTGGATCGTAACTCAGCCTTCGCAATATTATACCCTGACCGAAGAATAAGGCTAAAAAATGTATTGAATTAATCCTTTAAGTCTTTTGAAGGCCTAGATACTATGTCTGAGAGCCTCTCTTATTTGAGGATGTACTAACCCTTTTTTTCGGATAATGTCTGGTTTCTACATTTAAAAGCACAGTACATTGTTTAGGAACTCGATTGTAACACTTTCCAAGATTAAAAAAAAAAAAATCGATTGAGAAAGCATTTATGTAAATTCGACTCCGTCACGTTCACCAGCCAGTTCCCATTGACACTAGAAGTTAACTATAGCTTATTATTTCTTAGAGTCCTCAAATCGATGAAGATCGGGCTCAAGCGCAATGAGACTTATTACTTTAGGGAAGGTCTTTGAGCCAGCCATCTCTCAGGCCATGAGCTACATTTGGCCGATATTGAGTTGTTTTTTTTAAAGCAATGGCGTTGGGAACCAGTCTACCATATCTTTGAATGGTCTTGAGAACAATACCTCCGCACATAACAGTATATTTATGAAACAGTGGAGGCCATAGACAGTTCTGTCTATAACATGACGTCTAAAAAACATAATGTCACCATCCAATTTTTCCAAACTAAGGTTAGCCCCATATTTAAGTCCCGCTATAGTGGACTTGCATCCCTTACAGGGGGATTAGTAATACTCCCAGTCGCTTTTTAATGCCAGTAATAAGCTCTGGAGCCTTTTGGGTAACTCGGTTCTAATGCAGACTAAGTCTTATAAATCACGAGTCTTCATCAGCCATTTCTCTCTTCTATCTCCACAGGATGTCGAAGCTCAAGCTACCCAATCATCCTTTGTTGTCCAAGTTCTTCGGTGTTTATTTAATAAAGAAACGCAAAATATCTGCTTGGAAACAAATCAAATTTCTTTATGTTTCTCTCCCAAAATCAATGCTAGTATTTTTTTCGAGCAAGTTTTTATACATTAAGAGGTCAATTATAGCACAAAATGGCGCTTTTTTATAATTTTCTCTATTACTTTATTCTGTGGAACGTGTTTTTAGCACTCAAACATTTGTAAGGGGTCAACTTGCCATACCCCATAGGTGACTACTTAATACAGGTCTGACTGTATTTAGTAAGCTTCCAATTCATTATTTTCGATTTTCACAACAAACTTATTTCCAAAGCTGAACAATACTGTTATCAGCGTGCTTTCTACTCTCATAAAGCAGGCCACAATAAGCCAACCAGAATCCTTTTTGGAATAGTACAAGTAATCTGATTGGTTGAACAACACTAATGTTGTCAAAAATGTCAAGTAATCAAAGTTCACAACCTGTAATATTAGTTCAGAAACTGAAATAGTTTGGCAGGTTGAATTAATCACTGTTTGCCTAAAGGGTTTTAGTCTTACTATGGAATCTGAAAGTGAAACGATCGGTGAAATCTGGCTGTATTGCGGCCCCTAAAAAACAAGCCAATTTTTTTACATAACAATTAGAAAAAAACTACTCAAGGCTTGTGTTTTATGAATGAATGAATGACAGCCGAATTCGCAGGAACAAGAAGATTTCTCTAGATGACAGTGCTGAAAAACTCAGCTGCTGTGACGGATGAGTTCCAGTTGAGGTATTGAAAAGAATATCAGAGCTAGCTCTTAGTTCAGTTCAATTGAAGGGTGGCCAATGCAAATTTCTGAAGCTTGCTTCACTGTGATGACTGGTTATTGCCACAACAAGCTAGCTGCAATGGACCTCAGCATGATCACAGTGGCTCTGACATTGTCGTGATATCGATTTGTAAGAATGTCAACAGCTATGCCAGTTTGGATATATTTTCAAGCTTCATCACTCTTGTTTTGTTCTGTGTTATTTTTAAACCTTAAACTGTTGAATATGCTATTAAGGTAATTTTTATACCATAGGCAAGTCTACAATCTAACTGAGCATGAAAACCTCTAAAACTTGGACTGTTCATTTTGTTTTCTTTATGAGGATTTTTTTCTCTGCACATGTCTTGAAAACTGCAAATTATGGTGCTTGGCATGTTTTCAAATCTTTGTTTGGTTCTTCTGTTGCTACTTGCTGGCTCGCCAGTTCCGAAATTTCACTTTCACTTAATGAAAAAAAGCTAGACAGTACTAATTGGCAGATGGCATGACAGCTTTAGCACAGCTCCCTACAGTGTACTCCTTATAATAGAGCATGCCCTTTCAACCAATGACAGTGCGCGTTTTTTCCAAATTTTACTATAAGAAGAGTTTGGGACTTAAAAATCTTATGAATGTAGCAACCATGTCATGGGTTGTGTGTGGACCTCCTTATTTACTGAAATATAGAATAAACTTTATTACCCAATTGAAAGGAAAATATAAAAAAAAACAACCGGCTTAAAACTCCTGTCACAATGCCATTGTGAGCCCACCCTACAGTTGAGTTTAAGCTGATACTTTATCATTTTTTCATGTCTACATTTACACTGCTGGCAATCATTTTTGAATTAGGAGTAAATGAAAATACCCACAACTCCACTTTGGCTTCAAAGAAAAAATCTAACCTACACAATGTTTGGCTGACTATATTTTGCCATTCAATAACTGAAAAAGAAGTTTTAGTACGGTTGCCATTTGGCACATTGCTTGGAAAACATTTATTTTGATTCCAAGACAAATTTTTAGAATAGATGATGTTTTAGGGTGGGGCTTTTGACTTATTTTTTTTTTTTTGCAATAATTAGACCTGAAAAAGGACACTGTTTTAAAATTTCCATGCCTTTTTATTCAATTTTTCATGGCTTTCATGACCAAATATTAGAGGTGATTACTTTTTTCCTAGTAAGTTGTCTGTTATTTAAAAATTTATCATTATGATGGCATTTACGTTCATTTGGTTACAATTTAGAGGGTTACAACCAGATAACTCTGTGTCAGATCTCACTATTCCATATCATGTTGATGAATTGATTTCCTTTATTTTCCACTTCCCCCACCCCTTTAAAGTCAGAAGCCCATTTGTATTGGGGAATTGTCAACTTAAAAAAAATGAATAATGCATTTTAAATAGTTATTAACCATTTCTCATTGTTTTCTACTTAGGGGATATGGGCATTTGTCTTTTGGCCGTTTGTTGAAACTTGTCGCTGCAACTTGAGATAATTCAGATTCCATCCAAAAGCAAAGAAAAGAAAAGACACGAAGCTTTTACAAAACTGAACTGTTTTGGATCTTAAACGTGTACAAGAGATGGGTGACTGATAGCTGACCCAGCAGTGGAGTCAGCTTCACCCACAAAGTCTCTTCCTTGGTCTTGATCTGGGATGCTAAGACTTGCTACACCAAAAAAACAAAAGAGAAGTGTGTGAAAACTGTTTTGGAAACTGGAATGTCTTGCTGCGCTGAATGGATCTTGAACTGTGTACACAATAGATGGTTGACTAAGAACTGACCCTGTAATGGAGTCGGTTTTACCCACAAAGTCTCTTCCTATGTCTTGATTTGGGATGTTAATACTTGTTCCATCAAGAAACAAAAGAGAAGTGTGTGAAAACTGTTTTGGAAACCGGACTGTCTTGTTGTGTTGAACACATCTTTAATTGTGTACAAGAGATAGTTGTCGAATGGCAAGCTAATTCCGTCCCTGTTGGATTGAAGAAGCTATACCAATGAGAAGTTGATCCCCTTTGAAATACTCTAACCAAAACATTTTGGAAAGCTCCATCTCAACATGAAGCGAGAAGCAGTTGGATCCAAAGGATTGAGATGAAGGCAATAGTTCACTTTTTATGACTTCGTGTTTCCTTAGATTTGTCATTTTATTGTGCCTACAGAACACCAATTAATCTTATTAGGGTGGTGGATGGTGGAGCAACAAATTAGCCACACTGAACGATCCAAACTTTCAAGCTGCGAAAGTAATTGAGTACGTCAAACAAACGTCACAGGAGGAAAACTCCGACCGCATTCCATTTACTCTCACATTTCACCCTCACAACCACCCAGTTAAATCTATTATTCTTAAAAACTTTAAATTGCTTGAAAACGATCCAGAGACTGGCACTATCTTTTCGCAACCTCCACTCATTTCATTTAAACGCGACAAAAACATAGGCAATTTTTTGGTCAGAAGTTCATTACAAACTAATGACCAACCCGGAACTTTTAAATGCGCTCGCGCACGATGCAAAACTTGTCCTTTCTTTCAGAACGTTGAAAAATATTGGGACCCAAACGATCCATTAAGATCACTGATCACGTCACGTGCCCCACAGCCAACGTTATCGGTTGCATAACTTGCACTTATTGCAAAAAGATATACATCGGCGAAACAGGAAGACGACAGGGTGACCGATTCCGAGAACACCTTCGCGACGTAGAAAGGAATGACAAGGACGCATCTAAACCAGTCGTTTGACACTTTAATTTACCTAATCATTCTAAACAACATATGGCAATCTGCGGTCTTTCCTTACATTTAGGTAGCTTGGAAAGCCGCAAAACTCTTGAACAAAAATTTACCTTTCAAATCGGCACTCTTAATCCCACCGGTATTAACGAACGTTTTTCATTCTACGAATTTATTCGTGTTTTTCTAGTTACCATGTTCCCACAAATAGCGTAGCTTCGCTCTCTTATCTTTTAAAACAGTCAACTAATATTACAGTACAGTATTACAATACGATATTTTAATATACATATCTATAACAATGGTAATATTACAATCTTCCTCCTATAATCTTCTAATACAGTAATAATACAATAATTTTAGAAAGTTTTTTTTCATTTTACATTCAAACCATGGTGTCCATATTCTCCATTTGTTTCTCTTCACATTTCCTTTGGCACTGACAAGGAGAATTCATTTAACAACCAAAGCTTCTTAAGTTGCATGTGATCCTTTCCTTCATTTTAATGATCTTCATGAATGATTCAGCAATATTATTGTAAAAAGGAATCAAATGCTGGTCACTATTAGGATTTAAAGGGTTAAAGTTCTATGCGCTGCTCCAAATGTTCTTATTTTTTTAATTTTCTGCTTTCATCTGTCACAATGCAGTGAAATCAAATTTACTGAGTTTAAAATTGAATTTCACATAGGGGAAAAATTTAGAAGTGGAACTTTTGCAACTAACCTTTATGCTAACGAAAAAAAAAATGCAACTAACCTTTATGCTTACGAATAAAAAATCTCCCAACTTACAGACACTTTTTTCAACTATCTGTTTTGCCTCTTACTCAAACTCTGTATTTACACATTCCCATGAGTAGACACTCTCTCGTAATCAAAAGCAGACACTTAAAAGTGAAGATTAGATTTTACTCTTTTTTTTACACTCTCTTGACTCTCGACAAAAAAATTTGTGTTTAAATTGCAATTAAAAAAATGTGACCTTTGACAGAGTAACAGATCAGTCGGGATCAGTTTTATCAAATTTTCATTTGTCCACGGGAGAGCGAGCTGTTTGTTCATTTGAAATTAACAGGAGTGCAACATAAACTTAATTTGTAGAGTCATGTTAAGGCCATGTTTGTCAAGGTCTACAGTGTACTTGCGTCTTGTTTCTCTCCCACAAACAAGACATCCACTCTATTTTCTTTAATTAGTGTCCGCTTATGAGAACAACTCTTGTAGGGAATAGCTCTATTGATGGACACTTTTCCCAATTCCTGACAGTGTCAGCTTATGATAAGGTTGACTGTATTGCTTAAAGGGAAGGGTTAAGGATACTCAAACGATTCATTCAGTCTAAGTGGAATTTGATTTGTTTGTTACGAATTACTTTAGTTACGGATGTGGTTACGTTGTTGTCTATTCTCGATTGGTTTGTAATCAGATATTTTAGCGTCCCCACGCGCGTATAAAAGCCTCGTTTAGCGTCCCTTTAGCCAGTGTATGATTGTATTTCGCCTTGTCCATTCTATCTGTTTGACTTGCCGTTTTTGGTTCTTAACCCTTGGCACAAGCGGGACCGATATTTTACGATCGTGATCGTGATCGTGATCGTGATTGCCTATCGTGGTTCGCTAATCGTTTATCATCATTAAATCACCGTTAACCGTCAACCTTGGTTTTCCGTGGTTATTGGTACTTGAAGCACACGACCTGTAAGAGAGTCCCGTAGCATTAACACGCTTTAGCGACACCCTTTGACTTCGATCTCGTTTGTCGCAAGCGTCACAGGAAGGCTTCATGGTTATGTACATGAGCGAATCCTGTTACGCAGCTTCATCGTTTATTAACCAATTAGCGAATAAAGGTAAAGACAGACCGGCAAGGACTCCCCATGTGGCTTTTATGGCTACGTCGTATTATCGCCTTCCAATTGTATTTTTTCTTTCAAAAGCATGTCGTAAAGGATTTTCCCTTTTTGTACGAGATTATCGCATGTTACATAAAAATTGTTTTCAGCAAGGGCTGATTGTGTATCTAGGCGGATTGTGAAAGCCATTTCTCCCCCATGTCATCAATGTGTTGGTCAATGATCTCATGAACTCTTTCCTGCGTGTTTTTTTAATATCGGTGCTTTGAGAGGTTTGTAGTGAACAAGCTGTTGTCGAGTTGCACTTTGGCCTCTTGTTTTTTTCTGTCTTATTCATGTTGGCTGTTGGTGTGTTGCTTTTTAAAGGATTTAAAGCTGAGTTGTTTTTCAACTCTTTCAGAGCCGTGACCTCACTGCATTACAAACTGTTTTGTGGCTTGGATACAGTAATCTCTGCAAGTTGTGTTATGACATTTTCCAAGTAACTCTTAAGGACGATTGAAGGCTGAACTGGTGGCATCCTGTTTGATAGGAAACAGGTGTGGTTCTTTGTTTTGTCCTTGAAAAGTGTAATTGAGACGCATTCATCTTGCGAACAGATCTCGCATGAGTTGGCCTGATTTTACATTCGTTTGTCATGGGTGCTGGGATGCTGACTTGACTGTCAGAAATTTGATAGTGCGATGCCACCACAAAAGCCAGATAGGGAGTCTGTGCAGGTCAGTTTTTACCTTCATTCTTAAAAATTTTTTGCAAAATCATGAAAATTAGTGCTTAAAAAATGTGCTAAAATATAGTTCGATGATCCAAAAACTCAACAACCACTGTCAGATCGAAGGATGTCCAAATCTTACAGCGAATTCAGGTTGATTGATCAAGCGATATTAATTTAGTGTTGACCCGATTAATTTAATTTGAAGGCTGTCACGCCGTGTATGTGTTTAACTATAGTTTTGTGCCTTTAACTTTGCACGTGCGTTATTCGTTGTGTCTTGAGGACCACAAGTTGATGCTTGAATCAATTAATAATTAATCCAGCGGTCATTTAATTTTACTCTGTTTACTAAAATATTCAAACTTGCAGGACACATATCTGTACCTTCTGTTTTTTTTTTTTTCTTCTTTTTTTTCTTTTTTTTAACACACACACACACCCAAGTACCCATAGTTCTCCTAGGTTATTATGAAATTTACAGCAAAGCAGATTATTAAAATGGAATGAGCATAAACATTAGTTAGTTTAGTTAATTAGCTTAATCATTAACTTAGTTTACTAGCACACGAACTTACAAACCAGCAAAGCCTGCAAAATAAATTAAAGATCAGGCTAAAGAAAAATAATAAAATGACCCGCTTTTAACAGGATTTCTCCACGTACCTCTGACATGAATGTTTAGAATTCACGTGAGAAACGCGGCCTTCATTTCTTTGTTTTGCATTTTGGAAAGAGGAAAAGAGGGTTGACCGTTTTACTTTTCCCTGCTGTTCGAGACAACTGCACTGTCGTATTTCATCATCTCTTTCTGACAAAACGTTGCTCAACCTTACCTTGACGCCACAACGTACTTTCAGCTTATATACTTACCACAGTGTCACCTATTTGATAGCTTTCGTCTAAAATTGTTGTGATTTGCATAATTGAAGGGGAGTTGCGAGTAGAGTCATCTTTCTTGCACGCGTACTGCATTTTTTTTAGAGAGATCATCGCTTTTTCACCGCTGTTTTATCAGATATGGAATAAGGTAATGTTGATAAGTTGGTGCGTAAGTTTTTGTTGAATAACCATGAAATATTTATTAAAATCTACCGATAACTTTTCTCCCTACGTGAGTGGACTTGAATGTGTTATTTCCCAGCGATTTTTGCCTAATTTTGTGATATGTCGAAACCATTACGCGAAGACGACTTCACAATAAACCTTATACAAGAAGAGAAGTTTATTGGTTTTATAACATATTTCGTGGTTATCTTGAGACAAACTTACCCTTCCCTCGTATGAACATCGTCTTAATCCAATTATGATAAAATGCAGCAAAAAGGCGTTGATCTATTTCCGAAATAGTTTTTCTGAACGTAGACGAAACAACCTTTCGCCATATCTTTCCTCTAGCAATTTGCTATGTTTGCCCAGTGGCGATCTAAGACATTTTTGCGAAAATACTAGGATGCGATTACTGGCAACTCATTCATTAAAGAGATTGCAGACACGAAGCCTAAGAAGATTAATGTTTCCACGTGATTCGAACCCAACTATTAGAGGCCACTACTACGAAGAAAATTTAGGGAGCGAGGCCAAACGGGAGGAGAGTTGATTGAGTTACACAAGACGTATGTTGTGTGGAATAAGTATTGGATACTCACGTTCGTGAATATCCAGCAGATTATTTATTTGTATCATAGAACACTGACAGTTTTTGCATTGCTAGTGAATTGATATACCATAGCGTCCTTTAAAAACAGCCAAGAATTTTTCCACTGAAACATTGAACTTTGCAAAACTTGACAGCATACATTTCAAGAGTAAAATACTTTAGCGTAGTCAGAGTAAGCAGCTCTAGCTCAGCACATCCTTGACTTTCATGTTTAAAGTATTGCATAAATAGACGCCAAAACCCGCAGACAGTGGTGACTAAGATTTATGAGGATAGTAATCGATAAAAATGGTGGTCACTAGATATAGAAATACTTGCCAACCTTGCAGTACCATAAGGAAGTGGATTGCAACAGTAATTAATTGAAACATGTTCAAAAATCCTCATGTTCATCGTCCACATCCCATTAGCTTCAAGAGAATAGTTAAGCTGTATCTTTATAAAAGTGATATTTTTTTGTAATATAATTTCAAGTAAATCGGTCTACCGTATCTCCTAATGTTAGACAGGGAAGATTTACTCAAGGCGGCTAACAGTGTCAAACGTCTGTAAACCGCAATAATAATAATCCTTCCCTCAAGAAAATCCCGAACGTGGAGTTACGGGCGTAGCCTTTTCAAAGGTTAGTAAACGTAAAGGTCGACAAAACATCACCTACGCGTAAAATATTTCTGAACAAATTACAGTTTTGTGTCTTCAGGGAACGAATACACCGTCGCGAGAGAAGAGCTTTGATTTGCTTCCAAGCTGACGTTTGACGTCGCATCATTTTCAGATGGAGACCCAGGAACTTCCACATTAGGCGATGACTGAACAGCTTGAGCCTCAACATCCTGTGAGCCTAAACAGGTAAAATGGTACATGGAAAATTTATGCATTTGAATAGATACACGAACATTTCGGGGTGACGCTGTTTGCAATTATTCTTAATAAGTCGGCTTAGATACAAAAATCAAAGAACATTTTAAGGTTACTACCTTTCCTTTTGCAGGATACGTTTGACGGTTGATACAGCAAAACCAAAACCAACAGGGATCCTACCAGAGTTAGTATTCCAGGCGCCATTGCAAACACATATCGCACGTAGTTGCTAATCGCGTCGTTTGAGTTGGTTCTGAATCGAGAAAGGGGAATCAGATGACAAGAGGTTTAAAGCTGTAATCATTAGCCTAGTAGAGCCAGAAAATAATGATTTCCCTCGTACGATGCCACAATATTTGAATCTTAAATTAAAATTTCAGTATTTTTTTTTAAATCAGTGAGTTCACATACCGTTCACAACTATATCAGGATCATAATAAGGTTTCTTTGTATGTCGACTTGATAATAGCTTGCTTACCTTTCTTCGGGGTAAAATTCCTGAATTCCTTTGATTAGTACACCACTTAAGATTCTAGAAATCACACTGATGATGGAAAACACTGATCCACTGGTTTCCTAAAAGCCAATGATTATTCCAATTTATTGAGGCCGACGTCTGTTAGCTCACTGGACTTCCGGATCTAGTAGTGCGCTGGACTCGGGGGTGAAGTCCTACCCCTTGCCAGTTTATGGTGTGTGCTCTTAGACAGGATACCTTCTTAAAAGGCGCCTTTCTACACATAGGGGTTCAAAGGGATCCCTGCCAAATTTCAAGGAAACTAAGAAATTCTTGGAGTTATCTATCCGAAAAACAAAATAAGCTCAGGCTGTCCAAATAATAGGCTTCAATGAAGAGTTTTCCATTTTTTTCCCACCTATAGGCTTTATAAATATGCCCATGGTTGCTTAAATGTCCTCCTTTTTTATATCAAGAAATGGTCCATTGTTCCGGTTCAACCTTTCAAAACAAAAGTTTTTTTGTATTGGTGTTGCGGAGGGACTCTTCCCGAAGCGAAGGGGAAAAGTTCGCAACTGATTGAGAAAATAATCGGAATAACAATTTCGCTGCATAGAGTTGACTCTCGATATTTACTTACTGAGAGTTTGGTTGGGGGCCTGGGTAAATCTAAAGACAATGAAATTCGTTTTACAATACTAACCTTATTTTCTCCAATCAGCTCTGTAATGAAAACAAGTGCCATGACCTGCATTATGGACAGACCACCTCCTATAACTATCACTTGTGCATAGGCTGCCTGCCTGGTCGAAAGGGTTTGAAAAAAGCTCCAAACAGCACAGCCCACCACTACAGAACCGGCAAAAAGGTAACTCCACTAAACACCAGAAACAATGAAAAATTAAAGCTTAGAAGATCAATT